TGGACTAGCACCGGGCTGTCGAAGCGGTTCTCCACCGTCACCGGCCGCTGTTCGGTGGTGGAGTCGTCGCTGATGAGAAAGTGAGACAGCGTCGAGTTGAAGTAAAGCTCTCTGGAGAGAAATATGAGTTAGAAGTCTGCAAGCTTTTCCAAAGGACTATCAACTGACCCTTGAATCATCCTCGCGACAAAGGGTATCGCCAGCTTGTACTGATTGTTCTTCGACTTGACGAGCACCTTGCCGACGCACAGGCCACTGCAGGTGAACTGCTGCGGATCGAGCACCAGGTCGGCGATGTGGGTGGGCGAGGAGGAGCGCGGCGGCAGCTTCACCGGCCCTTCGAAGTTCTCCACGCTGAGGCCGGCGGAGAGCGGCGTGACAACGATGTTGTGCACGTAGATGTACTTCATGGCAGCGTTGATCACCTGAATGGGCAGGACACGGGGTGAGTCGTGCTGCGAGCGGATGACGCCAAAGTCGAGCGTGTCCAGGGGCGTGTAGAGGCCGGGCGAGTTGCTCACCTCTACCTCCACCGGCAGCATCAGCTGCACGTCAGAGGCGTTCGTCCGAATGCGAATGTAGGAGGTGTAGTTAGAGGCGATCCGGGCGAGAAAGTGCGCCTTCATGATCGGCCGACTCTCGTAGGGCGGCACGTTCCACAGCGAGCTGGGCGCTTCGTACTCGTTTTCGGGCAGTTCGAGGTGCAGGCCGCCGCCTGAAGTGTACATTTCAGTGAGCTATTGAGAAAAACGAATGGATGGAGAAAAGGTAATTAAAAAACTAATTTTAAACCAGGAAAGTGCTTGCGGTGTGTGTCACATGGCACTTCTAATAAACGGTGGTTATTATTGAATACATACTTGAAGTGGCGTTGAGAAGGGATTGTAGATGTAGATGAGCGAAGCAAAGGAGGCATTTAATGGCACTCGGGCGCCGATGAGCGGCCTGACGCGAAAGGGACTCGCCTCGCCCACCGCCGACACCCGGTACATGAAGGAGCCCACTGAGCTGTGGATGTAGAGAGTATTGTTGACTAGGCCCTCCTGGCGGGCGAGGAAGACCACCTGGAAGGAGGTGTTCGTCCCCCCGGCGATGAGCTTCTCCTCGAAGAAGGAGCAGTGAAAGTGCTCCGTGTTGCCGGATATGCTCAGCAGCTGAATGTTCGCCTCGTCGGGCCGAACATTCTCCACGTAGACCGTCTCGATGACGGGCACGCTGATGGGACTGGTGGTGGTGGGTGATGGCAGTAGTGGTGGCGGTGGCGGAAAATTACCCGCAATGAGAGAAATATATTTTTGGTTAAAAATAAAGCACGAAACGACCGAACAGTGTGCGGTGAAAGCGAGTGAGAGCGGCACTTACTGGTAACCAAAGTCGAGTGATTCTGGCGTGAACTTTAAATAGTCTTTATAAGGGTTTTCCTTTGCCGCCTTTTGATCAGTCATTATTGAAGATGGTAGCGATTGCTCAAGCGAGGGAGCCGCCTCTTGGGCGACATCATCGGCAAAGGTCGATGCTTGGCTTGATGCATGATCTGTGTGTGTGAGTGTGGGGAGAGATTTAGAGAATTTAGAATACACCAATGTGTAGAACAAGCACACTTACCAATATTGAACTGCTTCGCCAGCGTGACATCAGTGAGAATAGGCCATAGAAATGCAAGTACCAGGATAGAAGAGAACTCAATAAGGTATCGAAGCCAACGGATTTGCATCTTGCTGTGTTAGTTGTGGTGGCGTCTGCTGCTGCTAATGTTGTTGTTGTTGTTACTGTTGTTGCTGTGTCGACGAGGACAGGTTTGTTGGTTGGAGCAACACAGGGCTTCAAGGTGATCATCAGCGAGTGATCATCAAACATCAATACAGTTGGTACCTATTACGCGATCAACGGCAATCGATAAGTGTGGTGTGTAAATGGTGTAAATAGAAGTGAGAGCACCCGATAGAGTGTGAGAGGGAGGGAGAGAACTGCTTACTGATAGAATGATGATGATGAAGCCAGTCTTCTTCTTCTCCTTCTCTCGACGATGATGTTGTTGATGGTGGTGATGGTACTGGTGTAGTGGTAGTGGTGAGTGTGTCTGGTGCTAAGCACTCGCCGATATCACATGTTGTGTCCTCCAGTGTGAGCAGTAGTCAAGTTTGGTGCCCGGACACCTGACATCCGCTTCACGCAATGCTTCGCTCCGGATCCGGACTGTCTTGTTTCAGCTGCTGCTGCTACTTTGGGCCCTGGTAAGCTGGAGGCTCACAATTACCGAGTGTGTGTGTGTGTGTTTAGGAATCTCCTGGTGGCAGTGGTACGAAAGGTAATGTTTGTGTGGCAGCAGCCTTACTTGCTTCCAGCCTTTTGTGGTAGTGTTGTGGTGTGTGTATGTTCTGTTGCCGTTGCCGTTGTTGTTGCTGCTCTGGGCGCCACTACGCTGCTTCGATGGCTCCCACACTACTTCGGTAGTGTAGAGGCACAACAGTGGCAGAGCGTACAAAGTTAGAACACACGGCGTCTCTTCTCAGTGGTGGTGGTGGTGGTGGTGGTGGTGGATCACTTGGTGGAGAAGTGAAGGGAATCTCGGGGTTGCTCGCTCTTGCAATGCTTGCACAGAATCTTCTCCACCGTTTACACAGCTTCAGAGACAAAAAGCGTTTTCTCCAGCGCGGAAAGCGCCAACTCTGCCAGTGCTTCTGTCCGTCCGTCTGTCTGTCCCACTCTGTTGTACTCTCGCTGCCTCTCTGTCTATCAGTGCTGCTTCTGCTGCAGCAGCGCTTGAAAAACGTTTTTCTGAACCGTCCTTCTCTGTCTCTGTGCGCGCGCGTCGTCTGTCCCGTTTCTTTCTTTCTTTCTTCTTTCCTTTCTTCGCCGCTGTTTCCGACCGCCGGCCGGATGATTGAAACACTGGTGGTGGTGGTGGTGGCCAGATGGTCAGAGAGGGTGCCTGTTGGCCTTGCTCGATTGTTTAGCAGCGTCGATTCTTGTAGGAGGTGTTGCGTATTCAGAGCGCCGGCAAAGTTCTTGCTCGGTGTTTCGCGTTGCACAGACTTGAATCGGTCTCGAGGGAGAGAGAAGACGCTGTTGCCCCGGTGAGTGAGTTTGTGCTTGCTTGCTGCCTCTCTGTCTGTCTGTTGTCAGGGGCAAAGATCATTCGAAGAAGGAGTTGTGCAGGCAGACGATAAAAAGGCTGCATCAGCTACCAGTGAGTATCCCCCCGGCAATGGTCTCCTTTGTGGACCACAGAGGGGAGAGATTATGCAGCATTTACATGTTTGTGCAACAGATGAGACATGAGAAGGAAAAAGAGACGGCGTCCTTGAAGCGCAAACGTCGCCGTCATCGTTGAATAAACAAACATCGCTAATGAGTGCAGCGCTTATTTTTGATGCTATTTAATTAAAAAGATCAGCGCTTTAATTAATTAAGCTGCATCAACACGTACTTTGCGTTTGGCTTGTCCGCAATTTAAAAAAACTTTTTTAATATGTTGCCCGCCCTATCTGTGGTGTTTATTATCATCTGAAATCAGTCGCTCTTATCAAGTCTAGTCAAATGGTTTTACCACCAAAACAGATTATCAATCTGCCTCCGTGGCAAGCAGTGGTCAAAGTACTTTTGCCATAATCAGCAGCAGCAGTTCTCTCTGATTGCCACTCTTTTTACTGTGAAACCGCCGGCACAGCAGAAACATTGATTTTATCAGAGTCGATATGTATATAGGATACTAAAAATCACCAGATTTTTGTTGTCTATCAGTCATTGCTTTTAAATTGCATCAGTTTTCGCGCTAAAACATCTTGATATAAAACACTTGTTCTAAAAGACTTTGTCTCTTTTTCTAGATGCTCTTTCCTTTCTTTTTCGAGAAATGTGCCTTCTTTGCCCAAGTACAACCGGGCGGTATAGGCGGAATGAGGCACTGAGGTAGTGGTTTTGGAACAATGGTCTCTTCAGACTGCTCTGTGCTCTTCGGAAGCACCTCCTCTTCACCTGCTGGAATCTGGTAGACGTCACTGTGATCCCCTGACACCAAATGGGGTGAAAAGTAGCCAATCGATGAAAGCTGAAAAATTGATGCCAATGTTTTTAGTCAGTCACGAGGAAACATCAACAAAAGAGCTTACAAGCTTGGCTAGCTTCTCATTGAAGATGGCCAGTCGCAGAGTCAGTTCACTAGAAGTATTGGCCACCATCATTCCCTGAATGTCCTGCTCCCCTCGACATACGCCCGCCATTGGCTGCAGTCCAGCTTCCTTTAGGTTTTGGTAGTTTGTGTTCACACAAAGGTACCCACCACTACAGTGGAAGACCTTCATCGTGGTCAGCCTGGCCTGGCGGAGGTTGATCAGCGTCAGCACGCCCACTGTTTCTCTGTTCTCCAGGGTGATCCCTTGCTCGGTGATCAGCTGCATTGGAATGGCCCCGCTCACCAGGGGCACACTCTCCACTGTGTTGTCGAGCAGTTCGTGCAAACTTTTCTTGTCGTAGTCATCATCATCGAGTTTGGGCAGTCGGACCGGGTTATAGCTTGCAACCGGGGAAGATGGTTCGGTTTGAGGTGAAACAGGGAATCCAGTGCTGGACTGTGCTGGACTGATGTTTTGTGGCTTCTTAACGGTGAAAGTTTTCTTCGTTTCATTTGCATCTTTGGAGATGCTGGGAGAAGCTTTTGCTGATTGGCAAGTCGCTTGCTTTACTGGTGCACTTTTGGTGTCCGCCTTTAGCGGTTTAATTAAGGCCAATTGATGCGAGACATCGCCTACTTCCTTTAAAATGGCCACATTTTTTGCTGTTGCCGTTGACTTTAGTACAGCTTTGGATAACTTGCCTGCTTTCTGTGACATGATTGTACGTGAGAAAAAAGCTGTAAAAATCTGTTTGTCACAATATCTCTTTTTCCAAACATGACTGACCAATTTCGAACTTTTGGTTTCAACTGCTAGCATCAGTTTAGAAAAATCTTTTACATTTGCACACACACACACACACTTTGGCAAGCACCAGTGTGAATGATGACTAAATCATGCGAATCATCGAGCCACCAACCATCGATGCCACCACCGCTATCGTCGCTTCAGAAACAAGGCCAGACGGCTGATGGCGCTGAAAAGTTCAAGTTCTTTGCCTCATCTGAACCTCCAAATAAAACCGGCAAAACTGCCANCCACCAACCATCGATGCCACCACCGCTATCGTCGCTTCAGAAACAAGGCCAGACGNTACACATTTTGGCAAGCACCAGTGTGAATGATGACTAAATCATGCGAATCATCGAGCCACCAACCATCGATGCCACCACCGCTATCGTCGCTTCAGAAACAAGGCCAGACGGCTGATGGCGCTGAAAAGTTCAAGTTCTTTGCCTCATCTGAACCTCCAAATAAAACCGGCAAAACTGCCAATGCCTTTGTCCGCACCACCCACCGCCCTCCCTTCACCCCCTCCCTCCGCCGTGAAGTGGTTCGCGTGAATGAAATCATCAAGCCTGCTAGCGACCGCCGCCAGTACCGGGCCCTCATTCTGCCGAACCACCTCCGCGTGCTGCTGATCAGCGACCCCGAGACGGACAAGGCGGCGGCGGGCATGGCCGTCCACGTCGGCTCCATGACCGACCCCTGGGCAAGACAGGGACTGGCGCACTTTCTCGAGCACGTTCTCTTTCTCAGCACTGAAAAGGTTTGCCAGTGGTGTTTGCTGGTATTGATCATTGAATTTAACTTTTTATCTCCCCCTTCTTTCAGTACCCCGAAGACAACTTCCTGAAGAGTTTTGTCACCGAGCACTCGGGCAGCTGCAACGCCCAGACGCTGACCACTGACACCGTTTTCTACTTTGACATTGCGCCTGATCATCTCGGTGAGGTGCTTCACCGATTCGCCGACCTTTTCGCCGCACCTCGCTTTCCCGCCGACAAGGTCGATCGAGAGCTGGCCGCCATTGACTTTGAGCTGGAGGCCCAGCTTGCTGATGATGAGGTGCGGGCAGAACGCGTCCGTCAGCTCTGTGGCGATCCAAAGCACGTCTACGCCAAGTTTGCCACCGGAAATCGGCGCTCGCTGCTCGGCAGTGAAGAAAAAAGCGAGCAACTGTTGACTGAGGTGAAGAACTTTTTCACCGCCCACTACTCCGCCGACGCCATGGGCCTGGCCGTTCTGGGCAAACAATCACTGGATGAGCTGGAGCAGATGATCATGGATCAGGGCGATGGCTTCAGCCGACTGCCCAATCGCGGCAAAGGCAATGCCTCACTGCTGACTGGTGAGAAGAGCAATCAGCAGCCGGCGCACCCCTACTCCCCTGCGCACTGTCGACAGCTGATCAAGGTAGTGCCCTTTAAGGCCTTCCGCCGGTTGGTCCTTTTCTGGCCGCTGCCCAACACCTACGCCGCCAACGCTCTTGATTATGCGGTGTTCATGCTGTCGCACGAGGGCCCCGGCGGACTGCTGGCCGAGCTGAAACGCCTCGGCTACTGCACTTCCATCAACGTTCACGCGCCCTTCCACCACGACTTTGGTTTCCTCAACGTCGAGTTCGACCTAACGCAGGGCATCACACGGAATGAGGAGATCACCTGTCTGCTCTTTCAGTACCTCCGACTGCTGCGCGATCACCCTCAGAAGGAGGTTTACGATGAGATCAAGGCGGTGAAGGACATCAAGTTCCACTACCGCGACACGGTCGAGCCGCGCACTTACGTCTTCAACCTCTGCTTCAACCTGCACATCTCATTGCAACGGGCCGTCCTCGGCCGGGCTTTTCCGCCCTTTGTCCAGGAGGACATCACCTTTGTTCTCGACCTGCTGACGCCGCAGGCGCTCAACATTCAGGTCATCAGTCCGATCTTTGAAGTAGAGGCAAAGAAGAAGAAGGAGGAAGGTGGTGGTCAATGGAAAACCGACCCCGTTTATGGGATTCAGTACTGCACTGAACGTATCAAGCCGGAGTTGGTGAACGCCTGGTCCGCTGTGGAGCTCAATCCTCGCTTGAAGATGCCCGAGCTGAACAGTTTCATTCCGCGGGACTTTGCGCTGAAAAGTGAGGACACTTTATTAGCAAGCAATCTTTATCCGGTGTGCATCTCCGCCCCCGGCGCTCGTTTGCGCCTGTGGCACCGCACCGACAGCAGCACCTACCGCGCCCCGAAGGCTTTCATTGGCATCTTTTTCCGCACCGGTCAACTGTACAGCAGTCCACTCCGCCTCGACCTGGTCACCCTTTTCAGCCGACTCTTCCTGGAGCACGTCAACCAGCGCCTCTTCTGCGGCCGCCTCGCAGGTGCCACTTTTAGCTTAAGTTCCCACCGCTTCGGCCTCGAGTTGACGGTGGGCGGCTTCAATGACCGCCTGGCGACGTTGGCGCTGATGCTGCTCACCGAGCTGCTCTCCTTTCGCCCCACCCCCGACCGTTTCGAAATTCACCACGGGACGCTGGAGAATGAGCTGAAGGACTTTGGCGCGTACTACGCCCGCTACCAGCTCAACTACCTCCTGGAGACGGTGCTCTGCAGCGGCGGCGGCTGGTCCTACGACGAGCAGCTGGCGGCGATGGGCGAGGCCACCTCGGAGGCGATGCTCCTCTTTCTCGCCTACGTCTTTGAGCACAGCCCCGTGGAGGTGCTCACCTACGGCAATCTGACCAGGAAGGAGGCGGTTGACCTGGGCAGAGAGGTTGAAGAGCGATTATGGCCTCGCACTTCTACTTCTTCGGGTTTTGTTCGCCCATTTCCTCCAATGGACCCGAAGACCGCCGCCCTGCTCATGTACGACGCCTACCGCGACATTGAGCTACCCACTGAGCGCGTCTTCGAGCTGCTGGTGCCCAACGACTACCTGGCCAGTGGTCACGGGACGGTGCTTTACTACCAGGTCGGCCTGGAGGAGGACCGCCTGAAGGCCCGTCTGGAGCTTTTTCACCAGCTGATCACCTTTGTCTGGTTCGATCAGCTGCGGCAGAAGGAGCAGCTCGCCTACGTTCTCTCTCTCAATCTGAAGGTCACCGTTTCGGGGACGATGGGCCTCACCTGNGCTTTACTACCAGGTCGGCCTGGAGGAGGACCGCCTGAAGGCTCGTCTGGAGCTTTTTCACCAGCTGATCAACTTTGTGTGGTTCGATCAGCTGCGGCAGAAGGAGCAGCTCGCCTACGTCCTCTCTCTCAATCTGAAGGTCACCGTTTCGGGGACGATGGGCCTCACCTGTCTGCTGCAGTCCTCATATCCGATGGCTTTTGTGGCCACCCGTTTGCAGGCCTTTATGGGCGGCACAGTGCCTCGGCTGCTGGGCAAGTTGACCGCGGAAGGACTGCAAAAGGCGAAAGCTTCAGTGCTGAATCGACTGGAGGAGAAGCCAAAAGGGCTGCACTCGGCGGCCACGGCCCACTGGGGCGAGATCACCTACGGCCAGTATCGATTCGACCGCAGTGAGAAGCTCGCCGAAGCGGTGAGGGCGATCAAGGAGCCACAAGAAATGCTGGACTTTTACAATGTGAGTGATTGAGATGATCTGAAGATACACAATAACATTTCTTTTTTCTTTTTGCTAGGAGTATTTCAAACCAGGTGGTCCCCAGTGCCGTCGACTGGNCAAGGAGCCACAAGAAATGCTGGACTTTTACAATGTGAGTGATTGGGATGATCTGATGACACACAATAACATTTCTTTTTTTTTGCTAGGAGTATTTCAAACCAGGTGGTCCCCAGTGCCGTCGACTGGTGATTCTCCTTAAAACGAGCCGGTGCAAAGAACTAGCTTCTCCTGCCAAAAACTCCTCTTCTGATGAAGAAGCTTTGGTCCTGGAAGACCCCATCAAACGTGTCACCTTTTCCAACGTTCACCTGCTGCAGTGCTCCACCAAACACTGGCCCGTTCCGGCGGTCATTCTCGACAATTTTCAGTGAGCGGGTCTGCTCTGGTCTTGTTCACACTTTGGTACATTGGTAAATTGTGTCACTTTTTGTAGTGTGGAATAGAAGTATAGTGGTTTTTGTGTTTATTAGAATCACGGAAAGTAGTTGTAGTTTCTACATGACAGTGTGTCATTTGTTATCACTAGTTTTGTATCATCATCAAACGTTAATATTAGAATAAGTGTGTCAGTGTTATATTTTGTGTAGTGTGTGTGTTTTTCATTAATAGTTTAGGTCAAGGATTATTTTGTAGTCACAGATTGGTCAAAGCAAATGCTGTTTTTTCAAATCACAAGTGTTTGTGGGTGTGTGTGTGTGCTGGAAAGTGCTCTCAGTGTTTTACTTCAACTGTTGTGTTGCCCCAGCTGGGAAAATCTGAAGAGCTCAGCTTCTACTGAGAAAACTGCTCCTCCCGCTTGATATCACGAATCTCCTGTTTGTAGACGAAGTAGTAGGTGGGCGTTCGCATTCGCTGTGAATGCACGTATGAAATGATTGTTAATGAGATTTCCTCTAAATTTACAAACGTTCAATGAGCACTCACCACATCGCGGACTGCCTTGTTGGCGCCGCAGTGAATCAGAATGCGACCAATCTCCTCCATCTTGCTCATCGCCATGGCGTAGTGCAGCGGAGATCGGCCCAACTGATGAAAAAAGTGGAAAAATTGTTAGTAAATAATACAATTAAACGATCATTGTGACGCTTACATTATCAGGCGTGTTGACCGCCTTGATGTTGGCGTTTATCAACGCCTCAATGATGTCCAGATTGCCAAAGAGCACTGCCAGGTGAAGTGCCGTTCGACCTCGTTCACTCTTTGAGGTGACCAGATCACCATTATTCTCCACCAGATTGGCCACCCCCTCGACGTAGCCGTGCCGAATGAAGGTGTGCAGCTCGTCGCGGTTTTTCTACAAAAAAAATAAAAAAGTACGCAAAAATCAGCAAACTTCTTTATCTTTCTCCACAACAAACAAACAAACCTGAATTTCCGCCAGCTCGTGAATGAGCGGCTCCATGGTGGTGATGTTGTGCTTCTTCAGCAGCGCAATCACATCGTTGCCCTCCGCATCGACCACCGTCAGCAGCTGACTGTAGCCCTCGAGCATGAGCATCTTCAGGTAGTCCCTGCGCTCCTTGATGAAGCAGTCCAGTATGAACTGGTCAATCACCTGCAGGTTGTTCTTCAGCCCGTTGAGGACGGCCGTGTCGCGCACCGTCCGGTACTTGGCGTCCCGCTCCGCCACCAGGTAATCGGCCTGGGAGAGCATCTTGTAGAAAAGGGTCCGCTTCTGGTCCTTGGCCGCCGCCAGGTGAAGCACCGTCCGCCCGTGTTCGTCCTTGATCTGCGTCAGGTCGTGGCCGGTGGCGGAGAGGCCGTTGCTGATGCGGGCCGGGCCACCTCCGCCCACATTAGGCCTGGAAGCATCCTGGATGCTGTCAATGACGCTGCCATTGCTGCCGTTTGCCTTGATCACGTCGGTGCTGCTCAGCTGCCGGTCAATGGACTTCTGCAGGCGAATCTTCTCATTGCGCAGGGAGCGACTGAACTCGTCGGACATGCTCTCGAAGGTGCGGTCGCCGCCGCCGCCGGTGGCTCCTGTCGATATTGCATCACCGCCTTCTTTAGAAGATTGTCGACTCGACTTGTTGCTGCCCTTGCTCTTCGAGTCACTCCGGTCAAATGTGCCGCCTCGTTTGACGTTGGTGGCGGTGCTGGAGGCAGCAGCAGTGTTTTTAGAGTTTCTGGACGTCAGTGAGCCTCTTGTTGTTCCTTTGCGAGCTGCCTCTGTTGGGACGGTTCCATTGGCGACGACTCCGTTAGCCATCTTTGCGACACTTGCATTTGGTGCTTCAGTTTTGCTGTTCTCTTTTGTTTCAACAGCTGGTTCAGATGGTTCAGCAGCATCTGCAGCTACTGCTGCTATTGCATTTCCTTCCTCTTCACCACCACCTTCCACTGAGTAGCTTCCGGTAGTACGAGGCTCAATCTGCAGTATCTGCACTGACTTTTCAGAGTTCTCTGATTTTATGGCTTCACCTTCATTTTTGTCGCTATTTTCTGCAACTTCATTTTCTGACATCATCTTCATCGGCTCGCCATTTGCAGTCGACGGAACAGAACCAGTGTCGGGAGTTAGCTCTAGAAATTCATAAAAGTTAGTGTTAGTTGCTACACTTTTGTTTACCACCACTATTTCTCCTCTTACGTGAGATAATCTCCGAAGTGGGCGGCCGCTCCCAGAGGTCCGCCTCTTGATTAGCATCCTTTCCGCTGTACTTGATCAGCAGATCTCTAATGGTCAGTTTCTCATTGGTCAGGTAGTCGCGAGCCGAGTAGCCGAAGCGGTCCTTCGTGTCTTTGCTGGCATTGGCCGTCTCCAGAATGGTGTAAATTTGGCGATTGCTCTCCGGCAGGACGGCTGCGTACATCAGCGGCGTGCGGCCGTCATTGTCCGGGCCGTCGATCGTCTCCGGAAATTGGGTGATAATGTAAATGAGAATGTCGACGTGCTGGTGGAGCACGGCGAGGTGCAGCGGACTGGCGCCGTACTGGTCGCGACAGAGGGCGAATCGTTTCCGCGTCAGCACCTTCTGCACCTCCTCGGTGTTGCCGTGCGCCACAGCGGTGTGCACCGCCCTGATCTTTTCCATGTAGGCCGGCACCAAATTGAGAAAGTCCTGCACCTGCTTGTCCTCCGACTTCACCGACAACAGGCGGTCGCCCTGGCCGGCGATGACGACGTGCTCCAGACGAAGGAGGTCGCCCTCCTCCAGCCAGTGCTTAATTAGCTCGTTCAGGCGGTCGGCGTTGCGGTGGGCTCTGGCTGGTTGGGAAAGTGCTGTCGGTCCTCCTCCTCCTCCTTCTCCGTTCTGATTATCGGTGGGATTTTCTTGCTGATTGTTGGCTTCATCTTCGCTTGCTGAGGCCTCAATGATCTGCTCCAGTTTGTCCTCTTCGGTTGGCACTCCCTCGTCCTCCTTGTCGACCTCGTCGCCTTCTGGGAGTTGTTTATTAAACAATGGTTAAATTATTTATTGAGAACATTTTTTTCTCTACTCACTCTGCTCCATCTCCTCAACAATAGTCTCCGGCCAGGGTCCCTTGTCGGCTTTAACGGCGTTAGCCATCTCTTCCAGCTGCTCCTTGTTCAGTGTAACTATTGTAAACCAAATAAGCATATTTTAAAAAAAATTTAAAAGCGAGTTTTGGTTTACAACCTCCACCATTTTCCGGTCGCTTTGCGGCCATCTTTTTCACAGTGCTCTCGTCAGTCCCTTTCTTCATCGCCGAGTCGGCCGACTGACTGAGCGGCTCGTTCATCACGTAGCGAGTGTTTGCCGAACTCTTTCGTCCCTCCCAGTTTAGCTGAGGATCAGACTGACTGCTGCCCACGTCGGTTCGACCGGCCGAGTCGGGTTTTGGCGTCCAGCTGCGCTTTCGCCTGGTGGCCTCGTCATCCAGAGCGGGCGCGTCACGCCCATAGACTACCTGCATCATCTGGCCGGCATCACCATCTGAGGTTGAGGATTTCAGATCTGCCACCCTGGCAATGATGCTCTCCTTTGGCTCTACGCCCTTGAACTGCTGCGAAAGGGCTCGCTCACTGTGGTCGCCGGCGGCGGCGGCCACTGCCTGCTCAATGACGTCGTCTGCCGGCTTGTTCCATGCCAGTGATTCATCCCCTTCCTTCTTTTCCGCTGTAGAATCACCACCGTTATCGTTGCCTTCTACAGCCTCACCACCATTTGTCTGACTGGTTTCCGCCGCTGTTGTAGTGTCTAGAGCAGCATTTGCAGCTACATTGGCTTCATTTATCACATCACCGCCATTTTCCATTGTTTCTGATTTTGTTTCTGCTGGTGCTGATGGCTCTTGCTCTTCACTGGAGTCCTCAACAGTCTCCTCGGTGGCAATTAGAGCAGCAGCAGTGGCGTTAGCATACTGATTAATTGCCTCACTGGCCTCATTTGTCTCATCCTCGGCTTTCTTCTCCTCATCAAACTGCGTCCACTGCTGGTCTTCTCCTCGTGAGTAGACGATCACCCGTTCGGCTGATGTCGGTGCTGTCTCGCTGACCGCTGCCGTCACCTCCTCTTTTTCCTCTGTCGCATCCTTGGCCATCGATTGCTGAACACTGTTCTCCATAATGGTCACTGGCTCCTCGGCGCTTTCCTCTCGAGAAAGTTTGTTGGTCGATGACGCCACGTCCTCTCTTTCTTCTTCTTTTCCGTCCACTGTCTGGCCATTTGGTTGTCGCACTGTCGCATTCTCGTCGCTTTCCAGCAGCAGCTCACTGGCAGGAAAAAAGGAAAGTAAGACAAAAGCCGTTAATGATTAATTAATTAAAAGCAAATATTAATAATTGTCTCTATTAGTCCCTGCAAATTAGTTTACAGAGAAATAGTTTCTGCACTGGGAGCACTCAGCTCCATTTTAGCCATGATTTCAACTGATATCTTCATCTACCCTAAATGGACAATTTGGTTACATTAAATGGAGAATGCTATTATGATTATTTGCTCTCACTAGTAGTACACTGCGGAAACGGAGCAACTGAAAGACAACACCAAACTGGCAGACTCACTGACCACCACGGCACTATTTCTGCTGTTGCTGCTGCTGCTGTTGGTAAATGGCATTCCCAGTGGAAACCATGTGCACTATTGTGTGTTTGTTAGCTAGCTCTCTTCTCTTCTCTTTTGCTTTTCCTGTATCACCATCGCCTTAAACCGCCACTGTGCGATCGATCGCGTAATGAGGCAGTAGTTAATTGGCCAGATTAGGCACCACACACAGCCTATTCTATTCTTGTGGCCTCTTTTAGGCAAGTAGTGCTAGTGGGCAGGCACTGCCAGTGCAATTATGTGCAGACCAATTTGGCAGAAAAACAGCAATGTGTCTGCGTTCACTACTAACGAAAAGAAAACCCAGACGGAACGCGATAAGACACGACAAAGGGTATTTAGTTCATGAGAAACGGTTCATAGTAGGGAAAGATACTTTGAAATATATGGGCTGAAAGCTAAGTGCACTCACACTCGGCAACATCCCCTTTTTCTAAAC